TTATAGTGATTTTGGCTGTGTTGTCCGGTTTGATCTTGTTGACAAGTTCTAATTCTACTAAGTAGAATGATAGTCTCTATTGAGTATTATCTATCGTGAATAAACCTGTTTCTTCGAGTGTATAATGCTCCTCCAATTATTTATATTCCTACTATGAATGTACTACTCAATTGTCTATCCGTTAAAATTTTAATAGTGATTCAATTGACGCTAGGAGAAAACTCTACAGGTTTGTTTGTCGAATTCGTACTTATTGCTTAACTTATCTAAAATAAACTTTAAGTATTATAATAATCACTCACGTTTGTATATTTGGTGCGAATGGCTTGGTTGTAAAGCCCGAGTATGTTTAAACCGGTTTTATTTCACTTTTTCGTTCCATGTTGCAGTGGACCCAGTGTCCAGATGACTGAGCGCTGCTCTGAATTTTGTCTGATGTTCTCAAATAAACTGCTTAAGTTTCATCGAACAGAGAAAAATATATTCCTCTCAAAGAATGAGAGATCATGTCTTTTTTATATATAGATTTAATCCTGCGCTTCCTTTATAACTCTGTTGCCGGACTTGGTGTATTTTAGTTATTATCCTTTGTTTTATATTTTATATATATTTACCTATATAATTTTATTTCTATATATATTATTTCTTTTATTTTTTTCACTAGATATAATTTTGGTTATTGTCCTTTCGCTATTGTTTTCCACTCGAAATATTAATTGTAGTCCTTTGGTTGTATATCTTAGGATATTTTTCGCACTGACTCTTCGGTTAGTGTCCTTTTATGTTTTTAGACACATTATTTTTAACACTGCAATTAGGTCGATGTAAAGGCGAAACAAAAACAATTATTTGATTGTTGTGAATGGTTATACTTTATTTTACATTCTCCCTGTGTGATATTACAATTATTCGCTTATATTCTACAATAATGCTTACTTAGCTAAATATGCGATTTGGTAATGCGAATGAATTTGAAAGTTGAGAATACAATTAGGAAATACGGGTTGCTGACACTTTGTGTTTACGTTGCTAAAAATGCATTTGTAGTCATTCTGACGAAATCGGAATTATTGGTGCAATTGGGTCATTGGCTCCAACAAACTTGTAGTTTGTCATCATTGCTTATTTTGGTTTTGGAACGTTGCGGTGACGTAACCCGCATTGATTTATATGTACATACATATATATGTATATATCACATTGCCGAACAGTTAATGCTTACACAAACCAACATACATATATGTATATGTACATGTAAATATGTCACTCGCAAAAGCTACAAGCATTGTTCTACAAAAACAACAATCGTCACAAGTCAATATGCCAGTCAACAAGCCGACGCCCAAATTTATAGTAAATCACACAACAACAACATTTTCATTCATGAATGCTCTGTTCGGAAGCCCTAATCAGAGCTAAAAACTATAAGGATGACGGCGATTTAAGGCTGGTTAATCCTAGTGATAGGGTATTCGAAGTGTATCGACTGTAAATGATGTGGTACGTCAAGCTCTTCAACGAATATGCTCATTATTATAATGTTCGTTGTCTGATGTTGTCTGCTATACAACAAAAAACCGAAAAGGTATACATATAAGCATTTCCGTCTTTCCACCCGACTTTAAACGGTTCAGGTTGGTCAAAATATGATATTTTAATACAATTAAATTGACAAGTTTATTTAAAATAATATGTTTGAGCGATGAATTAGAATGGAATTGCTAGACTTTGGTCTAAACCTCTTATCATCCCTAATATAACGAATCCTCTGATTGACTATATTTAATTTAGCCTATACGGTTGAGTTGATATCCCATGTATATCATTTGAAAATGGTATAATATAATATAATATAAGCTGACGCGAACTAAAATATAGCATAAAATTGAGTCTAAGTTAATCATCTAAGTCAAGAAGATACCACATTTGATTGTAATTTCTTCACGACTTCTTCAAATAATGGATGTGTAACTCTTTCGCAACATTTTTTAATATAAAGTTTTGCCAGTATCTGAAGGCATTTGATTCTTGCAAGTTGTAAGAATATAAAATATTCGGTTACACCCGGACTTAGTTCTTCCTTACTTTTTGAAGATGGAGTAGTGCATCAAATTAATTTTTAGTATGTTTTAGCACAGAATGTTAATAAATAGAGAAGGCGCAAATCACAAGATTTCACCAGAGGGAATATCGAAAAATACAACTCGAACCTTTTGAAATACACTACACAATAATTAAAACGGGGAAAAGGCTTTAAATAGACACAAAGAATGTTCTTAAATGAATTATGCGCATTTACATTTGCATATTACCAAAAAATTATAATTTTTATTCACTTGCAACTTGTTGCTACAGAATATAATACTGTATACTGTGTTCACCTATCGGTTGTGTGTATCACCTAAAAGTCAACAAGTAAATATAAATGAGCATTATGACGAGATGAGTTGAATTCCGACTGACTGTCTGTCTGTTCGTCTGTCCGTCCGTCCGTTCGCGCAAGCGATAACTTGAGTAAAAATTGAGATATCGTAATGAAACTTAGTACTCGTGTTCCATGGGAAAATTAATGTCATCGGACCTCTCACGCCCACAAAACGCCATTAATTGACAACCTTTTAAAGGCCATAACTATGCATTAAATCAATATATGTATAAACCTGTTATTTCATATAGGGGATTTGCTGTGGCAAGGGGACAATGCGAACTAAAAATTTTGAGAAAATGATAGTGGCCCCGCTCTCTAATAGGTTTAATGTATATATCTCAAAACCCACTGAAGCTACAATAACCAAATTCGCTCAAAAGAAACACTATAAGAACCTCTCCTACAATGTGAAAATGGATGGAATCGAATTATAACCCCGCTCTGTCCCAATTCAACGGTTTTGTCAAAAATTACTTAAAGCGCGATAAATCACATGTGCCAGAGGCATAAAAATTTTACACCCAGGATGACACAAGGGAGGTTTAAAGGAGACGTGGTCAAAATTAGACCATGGGCGTGGCACTGCCCATTTAGGTGAAATCATATATCTTCGGATGTGCTCTACCAATTTCAACCAAATTCGGTATATAACATAATCCTGACGATCCTATGTAACACTAACAAATTGACGGAATCAGACTACAACTGCGCCTACTTCCCATATAATACAATTCTAAATTCCATATGATTCTTTCACTTTCCGGTACGCAAATAAAGCACAAATGAATATATTCGGATAAAATTTTGCACAAATAGTGCCTTTAAGGTATTCGTGCACGTTGCAAGAGTTTAAAATATTCGGTTAGACCCGAACTTAGGCCTTCCGTACTTGTTTAATATGAAGTTTTGCCAACAACTGAAGGTATTTCCCCGAATTTGATCCTTGCAAATTGCAATAGTACGAACTGTTCGGTTACACCCGAACTTAGCCTTTTCTTATTTGTTTATTTTACTCTTGCTGCAACATGTTACTACAGAGTATAATAGCTGTGTTCACCTAATGGTTGTCTGTCTGTCTATCCGTCCGTCCGTCTGTCTATGCAAGCTATAACTTGAGTTGAAATTGAGATAGCGTAATGAAACTTGATACACGTGATCCTTGGTAAAAAAGTGAGGACGAGTTCATATATATCGTATAATCGGACCCCAGCAAAGTCCACAAACCGTAATTAAACTAAAGTCTATAAAATAACATATAAAACTGTAATTTGGCACAAGGGATCACAGTAGTAAGGGGACCAATGGAAAAAGAGGGCTTGGCCAGGCCCTGTAAGTGGTTTAACGTACATGTCCTTGAAACCACTTAATGTACAACAACCAAATTCGCTCAAGACAAATCTCTTAAGCACATCTACTGACACTGTAAAATTGTGTGATCACAACGCCCACTTCCTATATAACGGTTGTGTTCAAAACTACTAAAAGTGCGATAAATCAATAAATAAATACCCCAAAGACATTAAATTTTACACCTAGGATGATACAAGAGGACCATATAGGTGCCGGTGTCAAAATTGAACGATGGGCATAGCACCGCCCATATTTCCGTGAAAACCCGAATATCAGGACCTAGACCGATATCGACTAAATTTGGTATGTAATTTTATCTTGACATTCCTACTATTTTGTTTAAAAATGGGCGAAATCAGCCTACAACCACGCGTATTCTGATAAGACACAATTGGGAATTCCTTCTGATTCTTCCATTTTCCAGTATACAAACAAAGCACCAATAAATATAACGAAATAAAACTTTGCAGAAATAGGGTTTTTGAAGTGTGCCATCTTGTGTCCAAAAATTGTCCAAATCGGACTAAAACTATTCAAGCTTCTAGATACCGAACCAGTTCCTACAGCGAACATTTTATCGATAATATCGGTCAATCTATGAGATATAATATACAAATTCAAAGAGCATCCTTCTCTGATAATATGTCTGTATATCAAAAATGTGTTGTATTTGGTCAATAATTCTTTTACACCCCGAATGCCTAATAGAAAGATTTTCGAACTAATGGCTGAATTTATATTGCATATATCGGCAAATGAGTAGGATACCTTAGCAAAATTGAGTGAAAGTGTAATATTGTACTATAATTTAATGTCGAATTTCAGATACATATGAATTTTGATTCACAAATTACCCAAACTACCATATATTACATTTCGTTATTCGAACAAACCTTTTGCAGCTGAAGGTATTTCTGTAGCTTTGATCCCTGCAAGTTGCAAAAGTATGAAATGTTACACCCGAACTTAGGCCTTCCTTACTTGTTTTCTTTACATTTTTAATGGCATATCTGCCTATGTAAAACACCATGATTACTTATCCCTAACTCAAAATACCTCCTGATCTTTTATTTATTAATCGTATATTCAGCAGCAATTTTTACACTTCAGACCATTATTAGTATTATTATACTCTCGCAACATGTGTTATAGCTTTTTTTATACATTTTATTGAGGACTTTATCTTAAGCGCAGTATATTATGTTTAAAATATCAGACTTACATTTTTCGTTTCGATTATCTTCCACGTTCCAAAATGAATTTTTATCTCTCAAGTTGGGATTGCAAGAAACCTCTTGTTGCTCAAATCCCCATTTCGGAAGTTGCTGTCCGCTGGTAGTCAGCGCACAATTTTGGAGATAATGAATTAGCAAAAACTTCGTTGTAACGGTTTTAATACTGGTGTTTTGCTTACCATCAGCCAATAGAACTTGCCAAATATCATTTGCATCACCTTGCCCGTCCTGAAGTAATAATTGGAAAAGCGTAAGGTATCTGAATTAATCATATACCTATGTACTACCTACCTCTCCGTATCCTGTTATTTGCAAATGCCTTTTAGTCACTGGAGCTGGTTCACCATGCGAGTGTAAATTCCGTCTAGTAGCAACATGCTCTAGTCTTATTAAGTCACCATGCGATACATATTTTATGTTAATAAGTGAATCTTTGTTGTAGGGCTTTATAAGCCATTTATTGTTATCATCCTTGTGTGTATATGTAGTTACCTGCATATTAAAATAAAAAGTTTGTACCAACATCTTCCTCACTCAAAAGAATACGTAATGAATTTATAAAGTACCTAAGCAACTAAATTGATTAAGTTAAGAAATAGAAATAATTATAATTATGCATATAAACATATTCATAATATTTGTACCACCCACTGGTGGCTTTAGTGTAACAGCAAAATATTTAATATAAAGTATAGTTCCGAACCAAACCCTCGAGAATTGCAAGAAAGAAAATAATTAAAATATTTAGACAAGTCAGCTAAAATACGGCATATCGATATCTGACAAAGGCACAAAGCTTTCAGTGCAGGTCGAGAAATAATGGAAAACTTGCCTGGTGCGAGTCGTTCATCCACCTCTATTAATGACAATAACATCAAAAAAATCAAAGATACAGTCAGAGAATGTAAAATATAGAGAAGGTCCAACTACGGACCAGCGTGTGAATTGTCAAAACCTAACAAAATGCGATGAGCGTGTTTCACCCCAGTCGGCTCGGATGGAGAAATTTTAACAGTGGCGCGTGAACAGAGCTGAGCATTGTATGAAAATTATGCTCAGAAGTTTGCATTGATATTACAGCCGCATGTTAGCTTATATTTTTATACGTTTATATGCAATCATATTCATACATAGATATGAAAATCATTTTCTGAATATCTATGATATGATGAAAAATGTATTAGATTTTAATTAAAATATGCTACTTCAAAGGAATATTTGCAGTTGCTTCTTAGATATCGCTTTTGTTTGATAATATGAAATGCTTTCATATAAGTACATATTTATGTATGTATATGTATCTGCTATGTTTTACTATATACATACATACATAAGTATATAACATATTAACATAATATCTTAAAAATCTTAATATATTTAAATAGTAATATATGCCAATCACACCTTTCATGATTTAAAGCTAAACATACATATGTATGTACTTATGTAAGTACAATTAAAATTCAATTCAAGTTATTATCATTTATCAGTAACAACATTTGCGCGCAGTGCTCTATATGTACATACATACATATGTATGTGCTTATGACATTGCCACACAAATAATGGTTACACAAACCTACATTCATATATTCGTAGACATGTAAATATGTCACCCGCAAAAACTACAAACATTGTTCTACAAAAACAACAATCGTCACAAGTCAATATGTCAGCCAAATAGGCGAAGCCCAAATTTATAGTAAATCAAACAACAACAACATTTTCATCAATGAACGCAGGCGTACTTTTAACAAGCAACCTCGCTTCATTCATAAAAACAGACACCCTCTCATCTCCCCGAGCATGCGTTTGCCTACAAGCTTCTTTTCGCGACGAATTTCTGATGTTCCCTATAGAAGGGAAAAGTTTCAACCCCGCAAACCCACAAAACACAGAAAAAATTGACAAAACCGGCAACAAAGCTTTTGTCGATTTAAAATTTTTTACAATTTTAAAATATTTTTCAATTTTAAAACATTTTTCAATTTTAAAATATTTTTCCATGACAAAAATCTCCGTCAATATGTATGCATGCTGATACATGAACATACATATTTACGATAGTTTGTGGGCAAAGCTGTTAGAGCGGCAAGGGAAGCGGTGACAATCGGCGGCCGTTCGTTATTTCTTTTCGGCATAGCTCGGATTTTCTACCAACAACACAATGTTGTGACGTTTTGTCGTCGCGTCAGTCCTTCGACACAGTGACTCTTTGACAAGAAAACAAAAAACGTGAGCTTCAGTCATTGGTTGTCCGTGGCAACGGAGATTTCCCAAGAAACAATGAGTGTACATACTTACATACATATGTTGCATGTAGACAAATTAATAATTATAATGGGTACTTTCATATTTGTTTACATGCTCACATAATTATACATATATTATGTATAAGAATATTTGCGACCGCTTGGTCTTTTCTTATCGGGTTATGTCAAGCAAGAGGTGTACAAAATCAAACCCAGAAATCTGACTGAACTGAAGCAGTCCATTAAATAGATAATTGAGGCAATCCCGAATTGGGTGTCGCATATGCGTGGTTGAGCATGGAAGAATAATGAATTGTTTAAATAAAATAAAATTTTCTATACAATAAAAAAAATAAATGTAATGCATTGACTAAAAAGAAAATTATTACGGTAATAATTTGTTAGCCACCCTGTAAAGCAGAATATCTTCAAATTATATGCAAAGTCGTTTGCGCATTGTAAATATACGAATCTGTAAGCGTACATTTCTTAATTGAAATTAGCATTACTTTTCTCAATTAACATTGAAAATGCTCAATTCTGCTATTTTGCAGTCCCCTGATGTTAATTGTGGCCATTTGTTTTCAGTACCCCTCCCAAAAGTGGTGAAACACGCTCATCGTTTTCAGTTCCCCTGCGAAAAGTGAAATATTTTGCTAATGGCCGCACTGTGAACCTTCTCTATAATCTACATTCTCTGGTACAGTGCTTGAAAATCGTCGTGTAAATTTAGCTCTTTTTTAATGTTTGTGAGAGCGTGAGAAATATCATAAATGAAAATGCCAAATTGAAGTGCCGGGTTACTAATTTGGGGCTTTCCCGAAAGAACGTATATCATCAGAGAACGTATATCATAGAGAAGGTTCAATTGCGGGACAGCGTGTGAATTGTCAAAACCTAAGAAGATTCTATTAGGTGATTTCACCACAGCTTACTCGGAAGGAGAAATTTTAACAGTGGCGCGTGAACAGAACTGAGCATTGTATGAAAATTATGCTCAGAGACTTGCTTTGATATTACAGCTACATGTTACCCTTTTGGCTTATATTTTTATATGCTTATATGCAATCATATATATTGATATGAATATCATTTTGTGAAATTTTATGAATGCAAATTAACTTCCTTTAATTATGAAGTATAAAAAAAACATATAAGTTCCGCGGACGCGCGGGTGAAATAAAATATGATAGTTTGAGTGATCCTGATGGATAACTGATCTCTTTATTTGAATATAAATGAACAATTGGTTGCCAATTGTATCTAATAACGAGTAATAGGTATTGATATATCCTCCTAATAGACAATAATTTTATTCACCTATATAAATTATATAAATCTACAATATATTAACAAATCATTAGGATGATGAGACTAATTCATTTCAGGATTACTGTTTATCGTTTAGTAATGAAAGCGAGAAAATGTACGTGCTCTTAAAGTACTCATAGATAAGATTATAATCTTAAAGTTAATTATTATAGTACATGTACCTGTTGTTGTCTGGCTCCAATACCCCTCGGGTATAAATGACAGTGGGAATGTAAATAACCTCCTCCAGTCTTATGATTTTTAATGGTCACAATTGCACCATATGACACATCTCGCGGCATACTGACATTGTATAACGAATTTCCAATTAAACGTGATTGGAAAGCAGAACTATAGAATCCATCACCGGTTCCACTCCGATTCAATACATTCAAGTGAATGTAAAAGAAACACATGTATAAAATAATTGGCCATAGAATTAATGTAATTGTTCGACACGCAATTTGTTTGACAGTCTCTATCTTTATTAATTTACATAAAGAGTTAAAGTTTTGTATGTTAATTAGTATAAGTACATATATTCAAAAATTAACTTTCTTTTTTTTTCTTACAATTGGTTTTCCCATATCTCCAAAAATTATCCAAAGCTGCTGGATTGTGTGCAAACCCACGAGCATAACTACAAAGAGGCCTACGAATTTGGTACTTGTTGTACAAGCTAACATAGTACCAGTAAAGAATAACCAAACCCACCAAGAAAGTGTATAAGATTTTCCAGTTGTCGTAAGAATCGATGCCTTGGTCATTCCCCAAACAGAAGCAGTTAAGAAAAAAAGCAGGATCGGGTCAAGCAAAATGTACTGATTTAGAGTTACGAGACCCACATCTGCTTGTCAATCATAATATTAAATTTGTAAGTATTTTATGATATACATATAAGTAACTAAAAACTTACCAAATATTAGATAAATTGAAGATATGACAGCTGCTTCGCATGATTGTGTCAAATCATAGACAGTGTCAAAAGCCATGGGCATTATGAGTGCACCCAGGGTTGTACAAAACTAAAAATTCGTTGAATTAAAAACGATAAAACGTTATTGAAATATGAACTTACATAACGCATTCCTTCATAGCGTGAACCGTTATATTTATCTCCTGGTTTTTCAAACGGATATGTACCATTATACCCAGTTACGTATCCAGAGAGTCCAATAAGCATCTTTGAGATTAAAATTACTATTATATTTAGTTCAATTTCATATAAAAAGATAGCAATGTTTTCAAATTATATAAAAAACGCCGACCTGAACTATTACCGAAGCAAAAGTATATATGTATGTATGTATATTTACGTTTAGGCGAGGCTTTTTAGTGAATATTCTACAATATGCTAAGTAATTTGTGTATATAAATACATATGTTTTTTACATGGGTTGTAATTTTTGAGAGGTTTGTATAGCCGAAATTCGCAAATTGAAAAAGTATGGTAAGTCTAATGAAAGTTTGCTGTCAGATTTTTCACTTTGGTTAATTGGATATTTAAATACGGATAAGCCGCAAATCCATATACAAGTATAAAACTGTAGTTTCCTACAACAGTTAGCATAAATGAGCTAAACTTTTTTTTAATAATTTGCAGAAGACAAATAATTTTGACACCTCTTATGACAGTGTGAAAATAGATGTAATCGGATGATAACCCCACCCACTCCCCATATAACGGTTTTGTTAAAAACTACTAAAAATGTGATAGAACAATAAATAAAAGCATCAGAGGCAATAAATTATAAACCATAGGTTGGGCAAGAGGGCTAAATCAAGCACCAATAAATATATCGGCATAAAACTTTGTACGAATAATGCCTTTAAAGTATACTACCTTACGACCAAAAATTGTCCAAATCGAATTTATAGCTGTAAAGACCCCTAGGTACCGAATATGTGCCCCAGTGCCTAAATTTGACTTTTTAATAAAAATATTGGCCAATGTGTGAGATAAATAATCCTTTCCTGATAACAGTATGTCTGAATGTCCAAATATTGGGTAAATCGAGTCTATACTTCCCTGAGCCCCCATATACCTAATGTAAATATTTTCGAACTTTCGTTTGACTTTATACCGCATATATACTCTTGCAACAGGTTGTTACAGACTATAATAGTTTTGTTCACCTAAGGGTGGTTTGTATGACCTAAAACTAATCGATGCAGATATAGGGTTATATATACAGGTTGGTTGAAAGGTTTCTGCGCTCGAAATGAAAAAAGACTGTTTTGGTACGAGATATATTTTTTATTCAATATATTCTCCCTTAACTTCAATACACTTATTCCAATGATTCTCCAATAATTTTATGCCATTCCTATAATGACTTTCCTCTGAAGATACCCGTTTACGGCATTAGCTTCTTCATTCGACGAAAAACGCTTTCCACGAAGAAATTGTTGCTGGTTTCTGAGGAGGCAATAATATTCAAAGTTAATTGTGTTACCTTTCTGCAGATAATTAAACAACAAAACTCGTTTTGCATCCCAAAAAACTGATTAGAACGCTCCAAATTTTGCTGAGAAATTTGTTTTCGATTTAGTTTTTGTTGAATTGTTAACGTGTGCGGCACAAACTTTTCAAACAGCTTTTTCATATGTAATTCTCCATGTAAAATATGAAGTACTCGTTCGTCTGAGATGCCTATGGCATTAGCAATTTCACGCTCAGTCAAGCTTGGATCTTCACAAACAATATTATGAACTTACTCAGTGATTTCTAGTGTGATTGCGGTTTTTGGTTATTTTTTCGCGTGGATCGTATTTAAGCCTAGTAGTTTAATTCCCCAGCCCAAAATTCAACGGTGCGTTTTGAAGGTGAGGACTTCTTATACATTTCAAAAAATTGTTCATAAATTTCTTTTGTTTTTAAACTATTCCATATTAAAAAAATATAATAATATTTGGAGAGCTAGCAACGTTTCAACCAAACTGTAAAACAGGATGGTGCCGGAATTTGGAGTGGTGGTGTATGTCAGCATCTGGGGTTGGAGAGCTAGTGTTTATTGATGAAATAATGGATAAAACAATTTATTGTATGTTATGTTAATACCATTATTATTCATGCTTTATAATATTATAAAAGTGAACGTAAGTTTGTTTGTTGCGCTTTCACGCCGAAATCACTTAACCGATCATTATGTACACATATTCCTTGATACGAAAGATGTAGGTAAAATAAATTTGAAAACTTTTTATTAAAAAAAGTTGATCGAAAATTTTAAAATTTAGCAAAACAAAAAATAAATGCAAAGTGGATTCGTAATATTAATATTAATCAAACAACTACCTTTAGGTGAAATCACATACCTCGGGACTTGCTTGACCGAATTCGATGTATAACATTCTTCTTATATTCCTATTTTACAGTGCGAAAATGGGAGAAATCGGACTTAAATCACGTCTACTTCCCATATAACACAATTTCTAATTCCATCTAATTCTTTCTTTTTCCAGTATGCAAATCAAGTACCAATGAATATATCGGGATAAAACTTTTCATGAATAGTGCGCTTATAGTAGTATTTTATGACCAAAGATAATCAGGATTTTCGAACATTCGGTGGACTTTACTCCATATGATTGGTGATCGTATGTGAAGTACCTAAATGAAACCCAGGGAGCATTTTATTAGTCAGTGGCATGTTATTAGTATGTGGTTTTTGATTGATCAAATCGGGTCAATACTAAAATTATTCGAACAATTTTTGTGCCGGTCAGTGAGTAGTTTCTATGTATAAAATTGCTTCAAAATATGTTCTCGAGTATACTTGCTTTCTCTATCGCCAATATACCCCATAAAATGATTTCTGCCTTTCCACCTGTGTACCGTTCAGGGTGGTCAAAATGTGCGATATTTTAATTAAATTAATTGGACAAGTTTTCTTATAAATTATTGGTCTAAGCCTCATAACATAACCTTTCCTCACCAACTAAATATATATCAAATTTAGCCTCTTCGGTCGAGTTAATATCACATACAGACATATATCTCATTTGAACGTGTTTTTATTATAAATTCAGATGACGCGAACTAAAATATAGAAATAAAACTAAGTCTAAGTGTATGGCTTTCAATATAAAACAAGAAGGTACCAAAATTGATTGTAATTTATTCAAGGTTTCTTCGAATAATGGATGTTTAATTCTTTCGCAACATTTTTTAACATGAAGTTTTGCCAACAATTGGGTATTACCCCGGCTTTCATCCCGGCAAGTAGCAAAAGTATAAAATGTTCGGTTACACGCGAATTAATTAAGCCTTTCCTTACTTGTTAAATTTGACCTCTTGCCAACAAATGAAGATATTACCCCGTCTTTTATCCCTACAAGTTGCAAGAGTAAAAAATGTTCGGTTACACGCAAACATAGCCTTTCCTTACTTGTTGTTAATAATTTTTGATATTTATTTAAGAGATTCAAAGCCGTGAGTAACACAATTAAAGTATAAAACAATGTTTTCTAAATATGGTCGTATTATAATGTTCATGTACTAAATTATTCAAAAAAGTATAGTAGAGAGAACAAGTCAAGTGCACAAGCAACATATGAATTTATGTAGAGTACATGTACGATATATGTGTACCCACCCTGCCAAAAATTTTACGATTATTCTTTAAAGAGATTACACCCTGTTTACCTCTATAAGGTACAATCGGGAATGAAATAGTCTCTAATACATATCTTAAGAATACAATTAGTTATTACTTAATAAGTCTCAAATGAATATATCTAGGGAATACATAAGTTGTAAAATGTAAATTGGAAAGTATCTTTTTATTCAACAATTGTTAAAGCAGAAACTTTTTTGTTATATATTTTATATAATAACTACATACATATTTGTATATATTGAATTTATAAACTGTGTTTAACTGAAATAAATAAACAATTCTAAATGTTTAATATATCTAGTAAAAGCTACACCGAGAGTAGTACCATTCCTTATAGTTTGTAATTGTTCATTTCAAGATTAAAACCTTCTCTCTTGCTATTCAGTAAGTTGACTTGAGATTCCACTTTGTTAAAATATGCATTGAAATCACAGGATAAAATAATAGGCATGCGCGATTAGGTCCGGAGATATATTTAAAGGTGGACCATGGCAATTCCACAAAATTAAAAATAAAAAATAAAATTAATTGTATCTGCATGTTCAGTTATTGATTTATTGCACTATTAGTAGTTTTTAACAAAACCGTTATATGGGGAGTGGGCCGGGTTATTATCACATTTCACCGATTTTAACACTATCGTAAGAGTTGTCGAAAGGACTTAACCGGTGCAAATTTGGATGAAATAAGACAAGTTACAACCTGTACAGACAGCCTGCACAGAGAGTTATCCGGAGTTCAACTCGCCTCGTCTCCTGATCAATTATATATATATAACCCTATAGCTACCTCGAATAGGTTTAGGTGGTACAAACAACCGTTGGGTGAACTAAACTACTATACTCTGTAGCAACATGTTGCAAGAATATAAAAATGTTGCGGAAGTGTTTAGCATTCATTATTCGACTAAGTGGATATCTGTACACTGATGGATAAAAGTCACCGTCATATGATCATTACAATGTTAAAAAGGCAAATAGAAACAGAAAATATTTGCAACACAAAGTTTAGCATTCTTCTTGCAAGCTATATATTTTTATATATTTTTGTAAGAAAGAATAAAAACGCCACTTGTAAATAAAAAATGAACCGAAAAAGAAAAGAACGAACGTTAAGGAATGCTTATGAACAGCAAAATACTATTCGGGAAATATGTGAATTAGTGAAACGGGCCCGTAGCACTGTACTGGTATTATAATATATAGTACTGGTATTATAAATCGTTTTAAAAATTACCCCAATTGTTTGTATCAATCGAGAAGTGATAAACCGCCTGCGCTATCAAAACGGGACAAACGGGAGATAGTTAAGATTATAAAAAAAGAGCCCAAAACCCTATTATCGAAGAATGCTGGAGGAAGACGTTGGTACGGTTGTTCATCCTTACACTGCTCGTAGAGCGCTAAATAGAGTTGGGTACAATGCCCGAGCTTGTCGCAAAAATCCAATGATTAGTAAGGTAAACCGAAAAAAATGACTGTTATTTGCAAAATGAAAAAATAGTGTTTTGGTACGAAATATATTTTTTATTCAATATAATCTCCCTTAATTTCAATACACTTATTCCAATTTTTCGCCATCCGTATAATGACTTTCCGAAAGCTCTGTAAAAGACCCGTCTACGGTTGTAATAGCTTCTTCGTTCGACGAAAAACGTTTTCCACGAAGGAATTGTTTGAGGTTTTTGAAGAGGTAGTAGTTGCTGGGAGCCAAATCTGGTGAATACGGTGGATGTTCAAGCAATTCGTACTTCAGTTCGTTGAATTTTGTCAATGTTAAAACACCTTTGTGAGCAGGCTCATTGTCTTTATCAAAAATAATTTTTTTTTGTGCTGCAAACCACCACTCATTCATTCATTCATCCAGCTGATCCAAAAGGCTGTAATAATATTCAGAGTTTATTACTTTACCTTTCTGCAGATAATCAATTAACAAAATTCTTTTTACATCCCAAAAAACCGATGCCATAACATTCTTTGCTGCTCGTTGTGACTTCACCTGTTTTGGAGCTAAACGACCAGCTTCAGTCCACTGTAAACGTTCTTGTTTCAACTTATGATCATGGTGGTAGATCCAAGTTTCATCCATAGTTATGAAACTATGCAAGAAATCGGGTTTATTCTGCTTAAAACGCTCCAAATTATGCTGAGAAATTGGTTTTCGATCCAATTTTTGTTAAATTGTTAACGTTTGCGGCACTAACTTTGCAATATTATGAACTTGCTCAATGATTTCTAGTGTGGTTCGTTTTCAAGCCTATTACGACCGCGTTTAAATTCACCAGCCCAAAATTCAACGGTGCGTTTTGAAGGTGAGGACTCCTTATGCACTTTTAACAATTGTTCATGAATTTCCTTTGCTTTTAAACCTTTTAATATAAAGAACCTAATCACTGCGCGATATTAAATTTTTTTTATGTTAAAAATACTCTGACATGGCAACTTTCAATGGCTTATAAACAAAGAATTAATTGACAGAGTGGCTTTTCATGTGTTCCCATCACAGATGTACCAACTTGAGAAAAAAAATTTGGAGCCATTAGTGATATTTCTTGATAAGAGCTAGCAACTTTTCAACCAACCTATATATAAAAAATTACGACAAAGAGACGAGTTGAAATCTGTGTGACTGTCTGTAAGTCCGTAAGTCCGTTTGTGCAACGTGTAACTTGAGTAAAAAGTGAGGTATCTTGATGAAACTTTGTGCACATATATCTTGGCACCATAAGAAGTTTGGTATTTCAGATGGGCGTAAGCGGGCTTTTGCCATGCCCACAAAACGGTATTCATCGAAAACTTATAAAGTGTCATAACTAAACTCCACACTAAGGTGCAAAACTGTTGTTTGTAACGAGTCGCATTAAGCAGGGTATCTTATATATTTCCGAAATCGCTTAAGCTTTAAAAACCAAATTTGCACATGCTATATCATTTCGAGCTCTCTTACAACATTATGAAAACGAGTGAGATAGGGTGATAAGCCCGCCCACTCTCCATATAACGGCTAGGTTAAAAACTACTGAAAAGGCGATAAATCAATAAAGGTCTCCGAACCTACCTACAACCACACCTACTTTCTATTTAACATATTAAATTCCATCCGTTTCTTTTGCTTTACTGTATACAAATCAAGCACCAATGGATGTATCAAAATAAAGCTTTGCGAAACCATTGCCTTTGAAGTGTGCCAGCTCATGACCAAAATTATCCGCATCGAACCAAAACTATTCCAGCTCCCAGGTACCGAATATGTAGATCCCAGTTCGTATTGCCAACTTTTATATCGAAAATATCGGTTAATCTTTGAGATACTTGTATATTATATTATAGAAATTCGGAGAGAATCCTTATCTGATAGTAATATGTTTGTGTGCCAAAAATGAACTGAATCGGACCAATTCTTCCCGTGGTCCCTATATATACCTACTAGAAATATTTTCGAACTTCCGGCTGACTTTATACGTTAATATCGGTCAATATGTAAGTTATCTTAATAAAATTAAAAGGACATGATTTTCTAATAACAATATATCTTTGTGCATAAAATTAATAAAATCGGGTGAAAACTTATCCTAGCCGCTGTAAAACTAATCTCAGGATTTTAAAATGTTCGGTTCGTGTTTCTTTATACCACATATATTGGTGATGTTATGAAAGGTATCCTAAGGAAACTCAGATTTCATCTTTTTCTGTAAATAATATGTGGTAGTGGCAAAAAGTAGATAAAAGCGGTACTACCCTTATCTCTCATATGGTTAATATAAGATTTTCAAACTTCCGGTTGGCTTTATACCGCATGTATAGATCAATATGTAGGATATCTTAGCACAATAAATAACGTATAATATTAAACTTACCACAGTTTAATGCCGAAAATATGTGATGTTGGACTACGAATTACTCCAACTCCATTATATTATATATAATGATATTCGTTATTCTAACAAACATTATGCCGAATATGTCGGTCATTGTGCAAGATATTTATTTATAAATTGCTTGGAAATATGTCTTCGAGTATACCTGAGCAATGTCAAAGGTTGATGCAACAAGCGGAGAACTTTCTTGGCCCCCAATATATCCTAAATAGTGATTTTCGACTTTCCAGCTGACTTTAAACCGTTCAGGATGGTAAAAATGTGCGATATTATAATGTAATTAAATGGACAAATTAATCAAACCGAAAAATTATCTGGTTTAGCGTTAAATATATAAGGAGTTGGTGTAGAGCTTAGTCTTAACCTCATATCCTTCAATATTATGAATTCTGATCCTCTGGTAGCCATTGTCCACATCTACTCAATATATTAAATTTAGTAGGCTCTGCGCTGTGGCGAAGTAAAATATTGCAATAAAACTAAGAGGGTCTATGATTAAAAAAATAAACAAGTAAGGAAGTTCTAAGTTCAGGTGTAACCGAACATTTTAGACTCTCGCAACTTGCAAGGATCAAAGCCCGAGAAATTACTTCAGCTGTTGGCAAAATTTTATATCAAAGGAAGTATTGATTTATTCCATTTTTGACACAAAGACATACTATAATCGAGAGTTTCATTTATTTATTTTATTGTATGAATTTCCGTTAAATATATTATACACATCGACCGATATTTTCGGTAAAAAGTCAACTGAGGTCCACATATTCAGATACTAGGGGCTTGAACAGTTTTAGTTCGATTTAGACAATTTTTGGTCACAAAATGGTATACTTTAAACTCATTATTCACGCAAGCTTTTAGTCCGATACAATCATTGTTGCTTGATTTGCTTAGTGGAAAGTGAAAGAATCAGATGGAATTTAAAACGGTGTTATATGGGAATAGGCACCAATCCAATTTCGCCCATTTTCGCACTATAACATAGAAATATAAGAAAAATGTTATGTATCGAATTTGGTTGAAATTGGTTAAGCAGATCCCAAGATATAAGTTTTCTCCTAAAAGTGAGCCGTGCCACGTCCAGTGTATAATTTTGAACGTGCTTCCTTTAAAGTCGTCTCATACCATTTCAGAGATAAAATTTAATGTCTCTGGCGTGTTTAATGCTTGAATTTTATCGCTTTTAGTAGTTTTTAACAGTACCGTTATATGGGGAGTGGGCGGATTTTCATTCGATTTCACCCATTTTCACACTGTCTATATAAGTCTATTAGCCGGGACCACACCCATTTTTTAAAAATAATTTTAACTGCAGATACCCCTCCCTAATGTGATCCTGCGTTCCAAATACCAGTCTTGTATCTTATTGTGGAGCTTAGTTAAGGCAATTTATTTGTCTTTATTAATGGCGTTTTGTGGGCGTGGCAGTGGTCCGATTACGTCCATCTGCACTACCAACCGTTTTACGGTACCAAGAAACATGTCTACCAAGTTTCATAAAGATATCTCAATTTTTACTCAAGTTAGAGCTTGCACGGACGGACGGACGGACAGACAGTCACCCGGATTTCAACTCGTCTCTTCATCCTGATAATTTATATATGCATAACCCTATATCTAACTCGATTAGTTTCAGGTGATACAAATAACCGTTAGGTGAACAAAACTATTATACTCTTTAGCATCAGGTTGCGAGAGTATAAATATATAAAATCATAAATTACTAAAATATCGAATTTAATTGAAATCCTTTCACGATTTCGACGAATAATGGCCTGAAAATATTTGCCCTACTTTGATCCTTGCAATTTGCAAGAGTATAAAATGGTCGGTTACACCCGAACTTAACCCTTCCTTCCTTGCTTGTTTAATATAAAGTTTTGCCAACACCTAATGGTATTTCCACGGCTTTGATCCTTGCAAGTTGCAAGAGTATAAAATGTTCGGTTACACTCGAACCTAGCCCTTCCTTACTATTTTTAATATACATATATAACTCTACATCTTTTATTTCGATTAATTTTGTGCTTTGTGAACCATGTTGCTAAATTATTAAAATTAATATATGTAAATGAAGAAAAATTGTTTAACAAATAAAAAATGTATTAAGAGCACAATACCTTTCCCAATGGTGGATGAACGTCAAAGAAAAATGTCCTATTAATATACCAGCTACCCATCTTTCCAAAATGTGTTTCATCCCAGCTATAGAGCAAGACAATTTGGTTTAATGCATTTATAATGCATGCACAACACTTGCATTTGTATAATATAGTTATTACTTACCAAACATGGTCAGGTTCTGCAACTTTGTAGTAACGCGTGCAAATAGTCAAAACTACAATTGTTCCAAATGTTATCCATTTGATTCTGAAGAAAAAAATTCAAATTGTATAAAAAAAGCATTTGATTTAAAATTCAATTTGTATAAAAAGTACATTTAATTTTATGAGTAGCTAAGCTTAAAATTATATAATTTTTATGCTCCCGTAACTTGTTCTATAGAGCATAATAGTTTTGTCATCTAAAACTGAGGGGAATAAATAGAGAATACATAGGATATATTTATTTATTTAATGACATAAGTCTATGAACATTAATTCTTACAGACTAATAGAAAATTAAAGTCAAACAAATATGGTAGATAACTTAGCTAAAAAACAGAATTAAGGGTTGTAATGAAGGAAGCCCTAGAATGAGAAAAATCAATTAAAACTTTCCCAGCAATTGAGTAAAACTCCCGCACAGCACACATCATAAATAGCTTTGGCAAATTCATCTTGCGAAAGACACAGTTTTTCAAAATTTACATACGAAAAATTATAATCAAAAAAATGGAAGTAGTTCCAAACTCATCATGTACATAATTAGATTTGAAGAATTTAGCAAACAAGTTGGACATTTTACCACGAGTGCATGCCAACTTATCACCCCAGCATAATGACGAAGGAATGACCGAACACGCCCTTCTAGATTTCACAAAGTTCCAAAAAGACTTAGGGTTCGACTTAATGTTAGGCTCCGTCCTGTCAATAAACCTTTTATAGAGTAATTTATCCAAATTATTAAACAATTTTGCATAATGTTGAAATAGAACGAAGAAAGCATGTACTTTTGTTAAAGAGAATTTTTGTAATATGTATTATATTTTATTTAGATTTGCCGATTTTTAGTATACCAAGCGAGCTTATAAGGTTATATATTTTTAACGGGGTTAATAAAAATTCTTTAATTTATTTCTTAAAAATGGAAAACAATTAGTAGTATCTAATCCAGAAAATAAATCATCGCATTTAAACTCAAGGGGCAGACGTTGAGTTTTGTAAAATCACACAAAGCAAAATTAAAACCTAATACCTCAATAGGTTTGACAGGAGCGAAAAAATAAGTATCAAGCTCAAACAAATAAAGAGTAATGATAATGGTAGCTGGAGTAATGGAAGAAAAGCCATCAAAGGATCATAAGTTTAAGTTATGACTGAGAATGACTAAGTCAAGAAATCGATCAATACTATTTGAATAAGAGTTAATTTGAATCAGATTGAGACTAAGCAGGCTATCAATGAGATATAACTCGTGAGAGTAGACATCGGGAATAAGGACAGGACTGTAGGAACAGCTGGACCAGACAATATTACTTAGATTAAAATCAACAAGAACACAACATTTTTTCTTTTTCAACTTATTTAAAACCAGTGAGCAAATATTATACAATACTTGTATGCATGTATCTTATACAACTCTAGAGGACTATTAAGACGGATGTAGGAGACAACGATGAACAGAGACTCATTGATATAAACACATAGTTGGTTTAGAATAGAATCATCAATATCAAGTAATATTAAATGAGGGCGAAATTTGCGAGCAACTGCTGGGAGGACACCGCCACCTCTAACTTTAGCCTGTTTTTTCGGAATCTCTATCCTTACGGAAGACAAGAAAGAAGTTTGAATAAAAATACTCACTGTCATAGTAACTAGAATTAAGCCAGGTTTCAACAAAAATGAAAATATCAAAATCCAAACGTGAAGAAAATGGACGAATAATATATGAATAAGAGCTAATACCAGATAAGTTTTGGTAGTAGACCTTAAGCCAGTTAGGGGAAGGTACAGAAAACGGGTGAGCAAAATTATGATTAGCAGGGGCATCAACTAGTCCGCAGCTTTGGAAAAAACTTAAACATCTGTGTTATAAAATCCCCAAAAAATAAAAACAATAAACATCAATAAAATCACGGCCAAATCAAAAGGCGGTGCAGTGAACACACGCTACCCAATCAGATTGAAAGTTTAAGTGACACAAGAGTACATCAACCCCTTTCACATTACGACTGACTGAGGTGCATTTTAGAAGTTAACTTATTCACCGAAGTCACTGGAGCTCTTCAGGCAGCGATGTGTCGCGAGAATAGCGTACATGTTCATATGGCAAGTGGACACTTTCAATTAAAGTTATTTCAATTCAATTCACTTCTTGGATGAAAATTAAAATTAAAATATAAATTTAACATTAAAACTGTGAATGTTGATTTAGCCATGTCCGTATGTCTGTCCGTCTGTAAATACGCGAACTATTCCCTCAGTTTTTAAGCTATCGATCTGAAATTTCGCACTTGTACTTTCCTCACTAAGAAGCTGCCCATTTGTCGGAACGGCTGATATCGGACCACTATAGCGTGTAGCTGCCTTACAAACTGAACAATCGGAATCAAGTACTTGTATAGGAAACTTTTTATTTGACGTAATTTGGCAGGATTTATTTTCTAAGGCAACACTGTAATCTCCGAAACATACATAAACTGAACGATCGGAATTAAGTGCTTGTATGGAAAACTCTTTCATTTGACGAGGTATCTTCACGAAATTTGGTATGGATTATTATTTAAGGCAATAATGTATTCTCCGCAGAAATTGTTCAGATCAGATCACTTTATCATATAGCTGCAATACTAATTGAACGATCGGAATCAACTTCTTGTAAGGAGCCTTTGTATTTGTGAAGGATATTATAGCTTCGGTGCAACAGAAGTTAACGTTTTTTCTTGTTTAAAATTATTTTACTCTGAAGATGATGAAGAAATGGTAAGCAGCAGATCACAGTCATCCTAATTTTTTACTGGGAAGGATGGACCTGGCTTAAAAAAATGGCGCAAAGTTTTTTGTCTTGTCCTCTTGTCTATTTCGTTTTTGAGAGATTTATAATAGTTAATGGCTGTGTTAATTCCTCGAGAAACTATAGCACTACGTTCGACGTTATGATCGTTTTCATGGAGGATGTTCATTCCATGTTTGAAATAGGAAAAATCTTTTGATGTTAGCTGTTTAGATACAGAAGGCTCTGTCTCTTCATCAAATGGCGGTTATACTTGCAACTGAATGAGCTACTCATAAGAAAAGGATTCCCTATCTGCTTCAAGTAGATCAATCATATCATATTTTCGTTCAAATCTTCAAACCCGCAATCATGTGATAGATCCAAAATATTTTGCTTAATTTCAGAAAGGAAATTAACTTTTACAACAGCAGCAGGCTGTGCCGCTAAGAAAACGTGTCCTGCGCGAAATGCCTTATGCCTAAGGCACACATACGGTTTCCGTACTACAATGTGTACTACAATAAAAGCTCAGGAAACCACGTACCATACCATACTAGCATGGTGACACACATATGGTATTTTATAAGTTTGACACTCATCAGCTGATGTAAAAAAATTAAAATCAAATAAACGAAAATAAACAAAAAGCGGGAAAATGGATCCAATCTTAGTTATAACTGCAAACAAGATTAAAATATTACATTATACAAAATGAGGAAGAAAAGGTAGGGCGGTTGTAGACCTTTGTAAGAAAATATACAAAGTGTTCCAAAACGAAGTGTTTGATGCATATCCTCCCATGGACACGAAAGTCGATGAATTTAGACGTGGTTTTAATCGTTTGGGATTCCCCCAATGTTATGGCGCCATAGATGGTTGCCACATAGAAGTCAAGCCTCCAAAGAACGAAGCCTGCGATTATTTTAATTTTAAAGGATGGTATTCAACGGTTTTATTTGCGTCGGTAGATAATAGATGCAGATTTACATATATTAATGTAGGAATACCAGGGCGAAGTAATGACGTCACCATATTTGTACAATCGGGTTTAAAAAAATGTCATTGCGTTAGTGAGGTATTTAAAAACCACACAACCGTGATCGGAGGTATTGAGGTGCCCATACTCCTAATTGGAGATTCAGCTTTTAAATTATCAGAAATTGTTATAAAACCATTTCCATTTTCAACCGAACAACCGGAAAGTGAAAAAGAATTCAATAAACGTATTTCATCGGCTTGACGGGTGGTAGAAAACGCTTTTGGACATTTAAAGGCCCGCTTTAGGCGCATTGGTCGAGGTAAAAAAGTTCCACTATTGATAATTTATAATTGATATAATTGATACTATAAAAATAAAAAAAAGGTCTGGAAATCAGTATAAAAAACGTTAACATAATTATCAAGGCTTGTTGCGTTGTACATAACATATGCAACAACAGAAATGACAACAATAATCAGAAATGGATTGATCAAGTAAACACCGAAAATAGCGCAAGGCAGCCTCATAGGAGCCATGCAGATAGAAATGACTGCAGCAGTGGAATAGCCATCAGACAAGCAATTATGACATCTTTTTTACAAAGTACTTGTATGTATTCTTAACATTTTTATTCACAGAATATACACGTTTAAGTACATTGGTTTAGTATTTTAGTTAATATATGGTTATTATATTTTAATATATTACATTATTACGACATATTTTTCACATATTTGATATTCTTAACATTTTTTTCTCTCTCGTTAAGTATTTTTATTTAATATAGCCAAAAGAATGGTGTTGGTTTGTTCCATTAAATCAAGAGCTTTCTCTTCGTTTTTAATAGATTTATTCTTCTTTTCTTCCATTATCTTTTGTTTCTTTTTAGCGAGTTCGAGGAAGTCTTCATCATTGTTTCTCTTTCTCTTTTTTGCAGACGTCCAAGTTGATGGTATCTCTTCTATTTCATCATCATTTGCCACCAATGAAACGGAATCTGTGGAATAAGAAGTTTTAAATCATATGTTTATATGTACATACATACATGTATTTGTTTCATTTGATATACGTATGTATGTACACATGTGCATACTTATATAAATTAATATATAAATAAATTTAAGAAAAACCTTTGTCAATGCTCTCTTCCGCCAGTTCTTGAGTAAAATTGGATTTGTAGGCGCCTTCGTCTTCGTAGTATTCTCAATTCGATGGAGCACCTCCACTTGGGACAATCATATTCCTTTCCTGCCTAATATATTTCATTACTACAAATGGTATTATTTTGTGAAATTGTTTACAAACCTGTACTTCTTTGCCAAATTGTTTATGCGATTTCGCACTTCGTCCATTGCAAGCAAAATTCCATGTTCATTTTCCATCTGCGCAACTGTTGGTTATATTAGGCCCACACTTCAATTATTTTTTAATGATTTCGTTTCCAACGTACTTTTTTCTTTTCTTTTTCATTGTTATTTTATCCTTTTTACGTTTGAATTTAAACTCATTTTGATAAATGTCAAAATGGCTGAAAACATATGATTATAACAGAAGAGCTTAAAACTTTGGGTGTGTTCAGTGCAATCCATCGTAGTACATTGCACAACACCACATAATTTTTATGGTTTCTTGAACACCATTGTAGTACAGAACTCCATTTGCTTTGGAACAAAAATAGGAAATACGGTTGACAGACATATGGTTTCTGTACCATACTACAATATGTACCATATGTGTGTCTCTGGCATTACGAATTCGAATCTTTTTTGTTGTCTTGTCTTTAACTGAACAAGCAGCCGTAAACCAGCAAGAAAGGCAAGTAGTAGTACAGATAATTTATGAGCTGTCTAATAGAGTAGCAGCATCATACATTGTACCTCCTGAAGTGCAGGCGTATAATGACATAGAAATAAGAAATGATATTCATTGTAACGAGCCAAATATTAAGGTACAGGAGAAATTGTTCGCATTTTAATAAACAGTCCAAACCACAGAGCAAAGGCCAAGTATACCAACAGAGGTTGAATATTTCTTTTTCAAGGTTCCTTCAACCCACTCTTAACCCAGCCCATTTAAACAGAAGACATGCCACATCTGGCAGCACAGGCGGATAGAGGGGACAGCAACAAAGGCCGATTTACGTCACGCAGGACAAAGAACAGAGCCCTAAATTGTAAACGACGTTAGAACCAGTTATGACTCTGATGTCGTACATTTTTTAGGGGTAAACCCCCGCTGCCCATCACCAGAGGCAGAGTAGCGGGCCAGATACACAATTCCTAATAGAACAGGGTGCATCCAAAAATTTTATCAAACCACATAAGGGGTGAGGGGCGTCCGCTTAGTAGAGACCCCATTAATAATTCATGTTTTGCCTCAATGTTCAACATGTTTCCTTCTGCCGAACCTGTCAACATGGAAAAATACACTTTGACCTGTTAATGGAAGCAGAGGCGACACTATGTTTAGCCTCAGTGCAGCTCAAATCGGGTACGAAAGGTAAACAGATTTGCTCTCATACTTGCAAAAATGTCTATTTCAATCACGTAAATTGGTTAGATGCATGGATTGATAAGGGGGAAGTGCGTGTTTCGAAGACTCCCTTTAGGTCTGAAGAATGCTGCTATTACACCTCAAGAGTGTCATTTATGATATCTTATGTTAGAAAATTGGTAAGTTTTGCTATCTTTATGTTGATGACGTGATAATCTTCTCAGGACAGGGATTTAAAGAACCTGGATGATGCAACCATGAGGGTATCTGTGGGAACATCACGTTTTTTTAAGATGAGCGTAAACTTACCGGGGTCAATGGTCACCAGTAACGGCACGTCAACAGACCCGAAGATAATAAAGGATATTAGAAAATTTCCAGAGCCCAAAACAGTATTTGGGATCGGCTCGTTCATGAGTCTCGCGAGTTACTATAGGGCTTTCATAAAATACTTCGCGGCGATATTGACGCCTATTTCGGAAATCTTAAAATGGGACAATGGAACAGTCAGTAAACAAAAATCGAGGAATATTGCAGTGCAATTCCTTGGCATGTCTGTGTAATATCTTGGCATCTGAAGATGTATATCATCCAGATTACAAGAAACCATTCGATCTAGCGACGATGTTTCAGCTTCAGCAAAGGTGCAGTACTATCTCCAGAAAGACGTCCACTCATAATGATTTCAAGAACAATGAAGGATATGGAAATCAATTACGCCACTAACCAAAGAGAATTACTGGTTATTAATTGAGCACTGGGAAAATTGCGGCACTATCTGTATGGGATTAAAGATGTAAACATCCTTTCTGACCATCAACCTTCGCAATATAGAAGTATAACCCTAATGCGAAAATCAAAAGGTGGAAAGCACGCATTGACGAGTCCAATGTGCGAATATTCTATAAGCCTGGCAAGGAGAACCTATGTAGTTGCAGATGCCTTGTCCAAACAACAACTTCACGCTGCGGAAGAAGAAGAGGCCGAGTCTTGCGCAGTAGGGGTCCACAGTGAAGTTTTACTTACCCACACTATTGAAACAACGATCAAACCATTAAATTGTTTTCAAAACCAGATAGTCTTGAAAGAGGCGCGCTTCCTGTTAAAGCGTAGCTTTATTTTTTTTGGGAAAAAAAGACATCACTTAATTGGTTTCACGTGCAGGGAGTTCCTTTTGGATGAGCTGGAGAATATTATCATACCCAGGGGTGTAAACGTCTTCTAATGTGACTTGCGTACATTCGCAATGATACAGGATGAAATAGTTCGAAGGTTCCCGACCACAAAGTTTTGGCACTGTAAGAATTCTGTTTTCGATATATTCAGGATTGGGGAGAGAAAAGAAATTTTCAAAATTGAACATAATAGAGGCCATAGATCAGCTCAGGAAAATGTCCGAGTACTACTTCCCGAAGATGGCAAAACTAGCCAACGAGATTGTGCAAAACTGAAAAACATTCGTAGGGCTAAATACGATAGACATTCTAGGACACAGGAACTTGATGATGACCAGTAACTTCTCATGTAGGGGAGATGCTGCAAATAGGCATCTTCTCTACGAAGAAAAAATTTTTTTTTACTTGCATTGACAAGTTTGCTGTCGAACAGCCTCTCCCCTCGAGAACCATTGAAGACTTGAAGCCAGCTCTGCTGCAGCTCATAAATTTTTTCCCAAAGGTCAGTACGATCTTTTATGACAATTAACTAGATTTAAATCACAGACAATCTCAACGATGCCAGCCAACAATTTTCGCATTAGTACACCCTTTAATAGTGTATCGATTAGGCAAGTAGAGCATTTTCATAACATTTTGCTGGAACTCGCCAGGTGTTTGAAGATCGATGAAGGTACAAGTGACTTTGTAGACGTTTTGTTGGAAGCAACTAAATACAACAAGTCAATCCACTCCGTTATCAACAGCAGACCAGTTGATGTTGTTTCGGCACACTCGGAGGAACCAAAAGAGGTAATATGGAATAAGATCAGAGACGCCCAGATCTCACTAAGAGGCAGAGAAAATGCCTCTCGGAAAAACAGAGTTTTCGAGGTTGACGGAAAAGTTTTGGTTCAGTCCAACCGGAAACTTGGGAACATTCTTACACCTTTATGTTATGAGAGAGGAGGGCTGGCAATTCTGTGGACCACGGTTCTTATTAAAAGGAAAAGTTTTTTTTTTGTGGAGGCAAACAAAAAATTGTGTAGAATGAATTTGCCGACGTTACGAGGGGTGAAGAAATGTACATCAAGAAATATGTTAGAATCGTTAGACGCACATTATACGGCCAGGAGTTTAGATTTTCAAGGTTTCATATTGAAGGTTATGGGGGCTACACCCGATGACGATGATTTCGAGAAATGCAGTTGATAAATTCTACCACAAGTTACCGATTAATCAACTAACAATTACCGAATCGAATTCTCAAAGCTGCTAAAGAAGAGTCCACCAACATTCGCACAAGGAATCTGATGTCTGTTTCGTCCGCAAAAGTTCTCCAAACGATTAATTATCATTAAGTAAACCAAGATTAAGTTTCCTTGCAAGAAGATTACATTTTTTCCCGTCATCCGCAAGCACTTCGTATTATGGATGAATGACAACGTAGTGGCCGAGTGTGGCAGAGACACTTATGCTCTGGAGAATTGCAGCGTTTCTCCAGAAGCAACGTTTTGTCGGGTTGCAGCGGGAAATTCATGCGCTAGTTAAGTTAATATATTAATATTTTTAATCTTCATCAATATGTATTTTGTCGTCTTCAAAATATGCTCCTTCTAAAGTGATACATCTATGCTACCTCGATTTCCATTCCATTGAAACATGCCTTGTAGGCGCTGTCTAGGATCACCTTAAGTTCCCTCTGCGAATTTTCTTTTACGGCCTCAATCGAGTCGAAACGGGTTCCGCGGAGTGGTAACTTGAGTTTTGGAAACAAAAAAAAATCGCATGGGACCAAATGCGGTGAATACCGTGGTTGATCGATGGTATTAAAGTTTTTGGTCTTATACGTAGCAACACTAGGTTTTGGCACATTGTCCGTATATTGCAATTCCATAATCAATTTTTGATAATAATAAAGCTCTTGTGATATAATTGAGAATGTTTGGGTGACACAAACAATTTTTTGATGATAAGTACTTTATAATATTGAGTCTTAGAAATATATTCAATCGAATATATATGAAATGTTCTTGGTAAGAAAGAGTTTAGTCAAATATTATACCTAGTATTTTTTACTATGATTATGGGGAATTTGGGTACTTAAAAAGGATAGGGTGGGGAAGGAGCAATTGTGTTTACTACAAATATGAAATGTGGAGCATTTTTTTAATGAAATCTTTACACCGGAAATTTTGGACCATTTGTTGACATCATTTAGAATTTTCAAAAATATATGATGAATTTGTCTTAAGTTTTTAATTTTTGTAAATATCAAGACGTCATCTGCGTAGATAAAATGTTGAAGTTGTGGTTGGAGCTAATTATGGAGCTGGCTTTGTTAAAGGCTATGATAAAGAGAGTTGTGAAGAGTGGTGAACCCTGAGCTATACCATTGTTCAATTTGAAAACCTGAGATTGCCAGTTATTGGCAGTTACGATGAATTTTCGATTATACAAGAAGGATTTTACAATGTTGAACATTTTGGTTCCGATTTTCCAGCGCTTAAGTTCACTGAGTACCATGTGAGCTCATACCCTATCGAAGGCCTTTTCTAGATTCAAGCTTAGTACTGAAACGTGATTACGGGATGCCAAGTTAGTGGAAGCAAAATATTCAAATATTAGCAGGGAGTCTTTTACTCCTAACCCTTTTTGAAAGCCGAATTGGTGCGGGCTTATGAGTCCATTTACTTTCGCAACCACATTAGCCTGTAAGAAATGAGTTTCTCTAGTGTCTTGGACATACAGGGTAAGAGGGAAATGGGTCTGTAATTCTCAATATAGAAAGAAGGTTTACTAGAATAAAGAATGGGAAAATCCCTGGCTGAGGATATATACCTGTATTAAGTACCAGGTCTCTGCAAATTTTTCCGAGATTTCTTGAGGAGTGTAAATGGGTCCTGATCTTTATATCGGACCATATTTGTTTCGGATTAGTGGTTAGCTTTATATTGGCTGTTAGCTTTTCCAATGATTGCATTTTAGCCAACCTTAACTCCTTTCTAAAGTTAGCATTGGCCTTTTTATATTCAATTAAATTAACGTCAGTTCTATTGTGTTTGAATGTGGACCACAAAGACTTTTTCGCTTGCACAAACGGACGGACGGACAGACAGATAGTTACTCGGAACTCAACTTGTCTCGTCATTCTGATCATTTATATATACATAACTCCATAACTATCTCGATAAGTTTTAGGTGATACAAACAACCTTTAGGTGAACAAAGCTATTATACTATGTAGCAACATATTGCAAGAGTATAAAAATCTTAACGTTGTCGGCTATAATAAAATTTTTGAGTACTTTTTACTGAAGAGATATATAAATAACAGAGACAGAATCGGACCAAGCTGAAATAGTATCATTAAATATCACTCGTTGTGTTCTACTATAAAGATAAGAAGGTAACCATTGAAGAATACTTGGCTGAAATCCAATTGCGTTTGGAGCTAAAGAAATCATATAACAATTTTTAACCTTTCTTACCTTATATAATATTATAACACTTTGTATTTAGGTCTGAATACTGTCGACGCAATGTAGGATATTTAGAATAATAGACAAGTAAACCAGTTCTTTTTTAATATTAAAAAGCTCTAATTTTTCTGTTTTTTAAGTTATATACCTCTTCCGATAACCACGGATTTGTATCTTTACTTTTACTAACAGTTACTATTGGTACATATTTTCCAAATAAATTTTGTAATAGTTTGATTAAACTGCGAGACACTCAATTCAATATCTCCATTGTAATCAGACCATGTTACGGTAGAAATTTCGCTATTCAACTTTTTCGATTTACGCTCTTGCAAAGTTAAACCGTACACAGAAGCTAGAAGTTAGTTAAATTATTATCCAGTATATTGCCTATGATTTCGAGAGTTATTTCCAAAGCAGGATAATACGAGCCCTCTGTTATAACAAGATTAACGTAAGTATACGTCTAATCTAAGAATTTAGCAAAATTGTTCGGAATTAAATTAATTACACTATAATCATAAAAAGCTTTCCACGAATCACACAGTAAATTGAAATCTTCCAAAACGATTATGGAATCTGCATAATTTGTCATTGAGTTAACACTATTTATTAAAGAAGCATGTTGCATATATACAGATAAGTCCGATTGGGGAGTTATATAAGATAAAATTAAATAAATAAAGCAGCTATTAACATAAGCTCTGGGATGTAGAGCAGGTTCGCCTCCGAGCGGTGCATCCTGGGTAACGCCATATGACCTGCGGCCTTTTTTGAACTCCTGATCTGACCTTTGCTCGACATAGACATAGCCTGGACTATTAGATGGATTCGGTTGAACCCTGGGCTGGTGGTCGTGGTATTCTGTCACCTGAGTATGCAGGGGTGATACCCTGCAGAAATGGCTGATGGGCTAATGCCAAGGTTACCTCCGTCCCGTTAAACCCATGGCACTCCTCGGAGTACGTTCCCCTCCCGTCATCATTAAGTTGGTGTGGTAGGTGTTTGTTGAGATGACTCCTTCCTTGCGCTGGTCGGCTCTGAACGCATTGTCTCATAAGGGCGTGAGTCAACCCTCGCCTTGGCCTCGTAACTGAGACAACCTTGGGACCATAAAAGACGACTACCTTTCCGGGAGGCGGATAGCGGCTCTAAGTGGGGACCTAACAAAATGAATACGAACGAAAATACTGAGGACAAGGGGGGAGGCAGGTCGAAACCGATCTGTGCTATAGTGGATGGTTCCCTGAGGGGCACACTTTCACCGACGTTGTCCCTATCCAGGAACCGTGGCTGAGCAGCTATGGAATATCTGGACTAAGGACAAAAAGCTATAAGCTCCTGGCAGCAAGCTGCACAGGTAGAACCAAAGCCTGTCTGTTGATCA